TCACCCAACTTTTGCACCCCTACCCATTTACTGGCTGGGGATTTCAAAGACTAGAATAGCCACAATTCACTGTACCACAATAAGTCTAAAAGCATTGCTATAAAATCATAGAAACTCTCTGATATAGTTAAAGTTTATTGTGCCAATCTGGCCAATAAACGCACGTGGGATTAATTGAAGGGCAGGGAGATAAATGGCTCAGTGAGCCTTGCCTTTCTAGTTCTCGGGTCTCTTGCTTTCTGATGGTCGGACCAGGGTGCCACTGCCTTAGCCTGTTCCCTGCTTCAGCTAGCAAGGCTCACTTCCTATAAGTCATCCCTGAGGAGAAGCCACATGGACCTACCCCGATGCAGCCCTGGGTGCTGGAGCAGCCACGTGGAGACAGACCCCTGCCAGCGCTGAGATACTTACATGCTCACAGACTTGGCTTTCCTCCTGCAGTTGGCATCATTGTGTGTGTTTTGTGAGATGGAGGAGGACTTTGTGGATTGGTGTCGGACATATGGGCTGATGTTGGACTTGAGTGCTTGGGCAGCACTGGAGTGGGATGTTTTCTTGATGTGCACTTACCCTTTATATAAAACTCTCTCTTATACATATGAGTTTCTGTGTATTTGTTTCTCTAATGTACCCAGACTAACACACTCTCCTTAAACTTACGTCTCAAAATATGAAACTATTGTTGCTCAACATAGCCTCCATTTAGGTCTATACATGTATGAGATGGGAGGGTGGGGGCTCTTTCTACTCCTTTCCTTAAAAATTAGGTGTTCTTCAGTTCCTACCACATTTATGAAATAGCAGTTGGGGCTTTCTCGAGGGATGCGAATTGTGTCCCTTGTCCAATAGCCATTGCTTGAGTTTGGGGGATAAAAGGATCTGAAGGGGCAAGACTAGGGCTGTGGAGTAGTTCTTATGGGAAAGGCCTTATGGGAAAGGCCTTACTTACTACCCTTGAAGCGGCATCCAGGTGCATTATTGTGATTGAAACAAGTTCCTTAGTTCAATTTTCTTGGCCCTTTTTCTCACAATGCAGTTTTTAGTTTTCTTAAAATATACTCCTTACAAACCCTGATAATTTCCCAGTGTTCTTTGAGAAAATCTACAAGATCATCCCTTGGGAATCCCTGGAAACAGTGCCATCAGCTCTTCTGAGCTGATCTCTCTGCCTTGGATGGAGCCAGCCCATCCGATCCCATCAGAAGCAAGTTTCAGGATTGGACTTTGCTCTTTGGGTGCTATTGGTAAATGCAAGACACAGCACCAGGTACAATTTGTTTCCTAAAAATGCTTTCTTTTGCTTTGATCTTGCTTCAAAGGTTGATGGAAAGGCAGCTCTTTGACGTGGCTGATTTTGGCTTCGCACTTTTGACATTCCTGAGGCCAAAGGGTATTGAGGCCAGGATGTTAGCTGACACTTGAAAAGTCCAAACCATTTCAGTAGTTAGCTCAGTATTTCAGTAGTTTTCACCTACGCCGGTAGTTAGCTCATCGATGGCAGTTCAATGGGCTCCTTCCACCATTTCTCCTTTCATTGAGGTCAACCATCTTCCCGCTCATGGCTCATCTTTGGGGGCTTCCCGACCTTCCTTAAAGTGCTCGATCCATCTAAGAAGGGTTGTTTTATGTGGGGCACCATTCCTTCAAGAGTATTAAATTTTTTTTAAAAGAGTATTAAAATTCTTCAAAATATTGAGAAAATGTCTACTTGTGATTTGTTAAAATTCTTTTATTAATCTTAACTTCAAAATTGCCCCCCACCTCTGCACACACAAAACATTTTTCCCAAGCCACCCTAGCAAGCCAAAGACAAGAGCATTGTTGAGAGAACTTATCTGCAGCCATGTTTACACATTATGTTGGAATAAACTCTCGCATGTATCAACTGGAACCCCAGTAACAATACTTTTTGATTGACCTTCATATATTTAAACAGTGTCGGCTTTTGATAGAATTCCCCAGAAACTGAACCATTAACCCAAGAAAACTACAATTGCTAAAAACATTTTAGTTTTCCTTATTTGGCATTTCTATTAGCACCTGCTACAATGATGTATTCCAGTGTCACAAACCATCTGAAAATGTCAGGTCTGAAAGCAGCAACTTATCTTCTCTCATGATCTGTGCATTGACTGGCTCCTGTGAGTTCTTACTGAGGGGTTTTCTTGCCACCGCAGTCAAGTAGAGGCTGCGGCTGGAATCATTTGACTGCTCAACTGGATTGGACATCCTTGTCAGCATCTTCATTGTTCATGTCCAGCTGGACTCGGAGCTAGTTTGGCAACTCTCTTCCCCCCTTTCAGCATGGCTAGATTCAGCTTCCTTATGCTGTGGTAGATTTAGGATAGGGAGGCAGATTAGTTGGTGGCAGTTTTCCAGAGAAAACATTCTAACCGGGAGGAAGGGAAATCTTAGTCTTTAAAATGGCCGGATAATGGAACTAGTGTAATTTTTCCTGTGTTTTCTTACCAAAGCAGTCACAGAGAGCCTTACTCAAGTGGAAGAGGCACAGGACTACCCCTTGATGGCAAAGAATCAAAGAATGTGTGTCCATTTTAATCTGCTGAGGAGCCCTGTTGTTAAATTAACCAAAAGATAGACGGTTCAAACCCATCAGCCACTCTGTGGGAGAAAGATGAGGCAACTTGCATCTGGGAAGATTTACTATGATATATATACCATATATTATCATATATTATATATAGCATAGTAAATTATATATATATATATTGAAATCAATTCACCAGTGGGTTGGGGTTTTTAATCTGCTAGAGAGTCACCAGAAATGCTGATTTTGATTTTCTTATGTTGGTGTTTCATTTTTTCTACCAAAGACAGTATACCACTTCTCAAGGGATTATATCAATTTAGGCAACAATCATTTGGAGTTAAGTTCCTTTCAGTTTATCTGTTTTGAGTAAGGACTAGCCACTCCATTTGAGTCACACCTCACATACCTTTGTTGAGGTTTTTTGTCATTCATTTTCTAATGACAATAGCGGTTGAGGCCCCACCATGTTTATGTGCATATGTAATTGCCTTCTCAATTTTTTGCATGTATAATTATGTTCCCTATATTGTGTTCCCATCACCACTAACCATTTGGAATTTTTTTTCATTACAATGAACAGAAACACAAGGCCCCCTGATTAGTAATCCCTCTTGCCCTCTTGCACCTCACTACTGATAACTAGGAATGAACTTTGGCCTCCATGTATTTGCCTATCCTAGATATTTTATATAAAATGGGATCATAGGCTATTGATTGTTTTCTATCTGACTGACATCACTCAGCATACTACTGTTAAAGTTCACCCATGCCTCAGCAGGTACCAAGCCTTCATTTCTCTTTATGGCTAGGTAATAGTCCACTGTGTAGATACAGTAGCTACACGGATCAGGCTGCAATGGAGCCCCAGTGGTGTGGTGGTTATGCATTGGCCTGCTAACTGCAAGGTCGGCAATTTAAAACCACCGGCTGCTCTGCAGGAGAAAGACAGGGCTTTTTACTCCCATAAAGAGTTACAGTCTTGGAATCTCACAAGGGCTGTACTCCCCCGGCCTATAGGGTCACTATGAGTCAAAATTGAGGTCAGTACATTTTGTTTTGTTTTGTTGTTGTTGTGGTTTTTGTTGTGCTGGGGAAGAAGTGGGATGTCGTGGGATGATTCATGATTCCCATCTGTGAGCTTATCCTCCATCTCAAACTGACTGTTGTCTCTGTTTTAATCTATTACTGACTACCTCGTTGCCTCCACACCCTCCTCCCTTGCCTTTGCCTCACCCACCACAAAGTAATTCTATTTCTCATACAGTATCTGGCCTGTACACTCCATCTGGCAGTCAAAGTCCTACAGAAATAAGTTTCCAGTTCAGTTTCTCCCCGCTGTGCTTCCAGCTTCCCACACCAGTACCAAAACACACACACTCATCGTGCATGACTCTGCCACACCACCCTGCCCCCAACACACATGCACAGGGGCTCCCGTCATTCATTCCACAAATATCTGGGTCATTTGTGAGCTTCAGCTGCTCCATCTTATCCCACAAACACACCTTCTGTTTTTTCCCTTTCTGGCGCTTTGCTTTATGTTCCCTGATGGCCAGGGGCCTTTCGTCCTAATGTTTAATGTTTCCCTTAGTCGAGAGCCAAGCACGGGGATGTCCTCAAGGCAATAAACATGGGTTGCAATGCTGCACAGAGCAGAGATTTATTCCCTCCCATGTATCTTGTACTTTTCATCTCGTTCTCCTTTTTTCTCCTTCAACCTCTCTCTGTTGGAGTCTCATCTAGCGTCAGCAGGCTCTCTCTTTTCTGTACCATTTTAACATACTTCCCTCTTACTCTGCATGGTTCTTGGTACGAGTGAAGCAGGGGGCATTCTGTGGGGGCATTGTTGAAGTGGCAAGCGCTCTGCCATACCTGTGCCCCAGTAGTCTTAGCCCCAGAAGTGTTGGTTTGTTCAGTATTGCTTCCTCAGAGCTTCTGGTGTGTTGCAGGCAGCCTGCTGGACCCCTAAGAAACCATGAAGAATCAGAGATGGTTGCTGGTGTAAAATAGACAAACGTTGGGCCTTTGGCGGTCTGCTAAGTAGAAAGGGGAGCGCACACTGCTTGCTTCTGCTTTTCTCTACCAATTGCTGTTCTATAAACCCAGATCCTGGGGGAGGTTATTGAAATGGGCCCTGAAGACCCAGCCTCAAGATGGGGAGGGAGACATGTAACTGGATCAGCTGGACCAATTTTGTATCAAATCATTGACGCAACCACACTGACTCTCTCTCAGACTGTTGGGTGAGATGCTACTGTCCTGTGGAGAGGAGGGGCAGGGACAGGATACGACCCAGCACTATCACTCAAGCTCTCAGATCCAGCTGCCGCCTGATTCCCTTCTAGTCCCCAACCCTCCAAAAATCAAAAAGCACCGCTTCAAATGTATTGTCCCCCAAACCAGGCCTGTGTTTGCTAATCGCAGCACCTGGTTATTTTTGCAGGTTCATCTCACCTCTCACAGCGCTGCTACGTCACCACGGGCCTCCGCTGGGACCTGCCATGAAACCAAACCTGAAACAATGGAAACAACTCATGCTCTTTGGGATATTTGCTTGGGGACTCCTCTTTTTGGTCATTTTCATCTACTTCACCGACAGCGAGCCTGCAGACCCGGCGCCCAGTTCCTTCTCCTTCCTGGAAGCCCGCAGGCTGCTGCCCGTCCAGGGGAAGCGGAGGGCCATCATGGGAGCCATCCACGAAGCCGCCTTTGCCCACGGCCTGGACCTGGGGGACCCCTTGAACGTGGGGCCCAGCCACCTGCAGAGGTGGGCCCCCCGGAGAGACGCGTTGGAAAATGAAGAGGAGTATTTTACATCCCAGATCGGGAGAAAATCCCAAAGTGCTTTCGACCAGGGGCTGGACGATGACTTTTTCGCTGCTGATCAGCCAGGGGTGGCCGGCCACCCTCGGGAGGTGCTGCCGTTCACTGGGGCTTTGCCCGCGCGCCACGCCCAGAGGCTGCGAATGAAGAGAAGGCGCTGGAAACAGAAGAGGAGTCCGGAGTTCGAGGACTGGGACAGGCTGTATTCCACCATGTCCAGGGCGTTTCTTTACCGGCTCTGGAAGGGCAATGTCTCCTCTAAAATGCTGACCCCTCGCCTGCAGAAGGCGATGAGGGACTATCTCAATACCAACAAGCACGGCGTGCGCTTCCGAGGCAAGCGTGAGGCCAGGCTGAGCGGGCACCAGCTGCTGTGCGAGCTGAGGCGCAGGGTGCGCGTGCGGACGCTGGATGGCAAGGAGGCGCCCTTCTCGGCGCTGGGCTGGGAGAAGCACGTGCCAGCCGTGCCCCTGAGCCAGCTGCACCCCCGCGGCCTGAGGACCTGTGCCGTGGTCATGTCCGCCGGGGCCATCCTCAACTCCTCCTTGGGCGAAGAAATAGGTGGGTCCTGGTCCTTTGGACACGAGTGGGTAGGTGACAAGGAGGGGCCGGTTCGGGCTAGGACGGGGTGGTGCACACTAAGTTGACGGGCTGGGTTGCTAACAGGAAGGGTGGAAATTCGAGCCCACCCAGAGACTTCTCAGAAAAAAGGCCAGGTGATCTTCCAGAAGCTGCTCCGGTAAACAGGGGTTTCATCATGACTTGGCATCACAAACTGGTAACTGGGACCCAGTGCTGGCTTCGGCGCTCCATATTGTGTCCTCTGGGAATCAGACCCAGTCTCAGCCCCCAGTCTCCCACCAAACTCCCACCAAATTCACTGGCATCAGTGGATGCAGACTCTGGGATGGATCGGACCGCCCCTGTAAGTTTCTGAGACTGTAACTCTTTACAGGGAGTAGAAAGTCCCATCTTTGTGCCAAGGAGAGGGGTTGCAAACCGTAGACCTTGCAGTTAGCAGCCAAACTTGTAATGGCTGCCACTAGCCTCAAGTCTAGTGGTGGATTAAACAACTCCAAATAGAGCCTTCTGGGCACCAGGAATATTGGGTCATAAAGAATCTGTGGAACTGCCAATGTTCTCCTACCATAGAGGAAAAACTTGTTCCTGGGCTTCTTTCTCAGTGTACCCCGTATGTGTCTGTGTTCTTGGAGAGTGGCTGGCTGGTATTCCAGAGCCGTCTAGGGTCCTGTGGGATGCCACTGTGGGTTGGCTATACAAGCCTGATCTCATCTCAGACTCTTCTGGGGAATGGGACTAAATATAATTGTTTTTCAGGTTTAGAAAACAAAAACCCAACAGAATATGGTGCAAGTTCACAAGTGTAGGCTTGAGGTCTGGGGTCCCTGTGTCCCCATGCCGACATTACAGCAGGCTCATAATAGCAGCTCGGGTGTCAGATGAGCCGGTAGCATAGCCAGAGCAGAGCCGCCCCCAATTTATTAGGAAACAGCAGTGGTTTAGAGGCCCCAGGGGGGAAATAACCCCCGAGTTGTTTCTTACTGCCGAGGACCAATATTAATAATGTAGAGACGGAATTTCAGCCTTATGCTTTGAAGCAGGCAGTAACTTGCTTCTGGTTTTGTTTGGTTTTAAATACCTCTGCATCCGAGTTGCATCTCTGGCTTGCTCGCATCTCAGGGAGAACTTCCTTCTTTGTTCCTGCTTGAAACCCTCGGCTGCTACCCAACAGGGCCGTCGGTTTGAACACACACGCTGCTCCGTGGGAGGAAGATTTGGCAGCCCAGTGATTTACAGCCTCAGAAAATCTACATGGCTGTTCAGTTCTGTCCTGGAGGGTTGAAGGGTCAGAATTGACTGCAGCAGGTGTGGTTCTGGTTGGTCATTTCTTACTCACTAGCTCTGGCAAGAACTTGGTAAACTCAACTCTGCAGAATTTGGAAGAGAATGTGAAAGATAGGGATACATAATTCTGGACCCTAAAATGCAGAGTTTTATTTGGATCCTTTCTAGTAGCTATGTTCGTTAGAGCCCTGGTGGGATAGCGGATTACTAGCTGATGTATTCACCGCAAGGTCAACAGATCAAAACCACCGGCCGCTCCATGAGCGAGAGCTGGCACCTTCTTCCCCCATAAAGATTCATAGCCTTGAAAACCCACACAGACAGTTGTACTCCGTCCTATCACGTTGCTCTGATGGCAATGAGTCGGGACTTTGAGTATATCTGCATTTGATTTCGATGATATCCCTTATCTCAGGTTTCATGGTCAAAATTAGAGATCTGTAACATGATGAACATGCCCAGGCTTTTTTTTTTGGTTGGGGTGGGGGGGTAGTTCTCTTTTTAAAAAATTTTATTTTCTGGGTGCTTTCGAGTTGGGTTTTGCACCTACCTTTTAAGAACATCTAACTTTAACTCCATTTGTAAAACCAAAATACATCTGGTACTCTGTATGAATTGGCATCTGAGTATCAGGGTGGTGTCTGGCAGGTGCTGAGCCCTCCTCCATCCTGCCCCTGCACATGCACACGCCTCTTCCACCAACCCCCCCCTAGTTATTCACAGCTCTTTTCATTAAAATGAATGTATGTCACATATTTCTCCAGGGAACTTGGAAGGTTGGGAAATGCTGTACTATTTAGGGAGATTCATCTTGGCCGCCAGAATTTCTATGGTGTGAAATTGGCCAGGTGAAGGCCAGAGGACTTGCCAAAGGCCTTGATCTTAACCTCCCAAAATTGAGAGCAGAGCTAAAACCAAAAACCAAACTCACTGCTACCAAATGTATTCCAACTCATAGTGACCATATAGGACAGAGCAGAATGAGCCCTTTGGGTTTCCAAATTGAAGCTCTTTAGTGGAGTAGAAAGCCCATCGTTCTCCACAGACCCACACAGCAGCTGGTGGTTTCAAACTGCTCACCTTGCAGTTAGTAGCTCAACAGGTAAGCACTACACACCACTAGGGTTCAGTACCCAAGGTGTCTGTGTTTATCACCCCCACCCCAGCTTTGCCGGAAGTCCCTCCAGGCTGAACATCTCTGAGTTGTCAGCAACTTCCTTCCCCCAAATTCTGAAAGGGACATGAGTGCCTCATGTATCCTTATTGGCTGCCCTCTAGCTCCCTCTTGTGTTTTCGCCCAACCTCCAATGCGTCCCTTCCCCTCCTCTGCTCTGTTAGACTGAGTCAGACATACGCAGTCATTGTTTTTGAGCAAAGTGTTGCAGTTGTAAACACCTCCACTTGGAATATATTATTGAAAAGCAACTTGAATTATTTTGGAAACATAGAGAATTATTTCCTAGAACCATGAAATATATTTACACCGTACATATACATTATAATTTGGTCGTGAGAGCCTCTACTAGCAGTCTCTTGGAAACACACACTCTCAAAACCAAAAGACACCCTGAGTCCATTCTGACTCATAGCGACCCTATCAGACCAGGTGGAACTGCCCCTGTGAATTTCTGAGACTGTAACTCCTTATGGGAGTGGAAAGTGCTGTCTTTCTCCCATGGACAGTGCTGCTGTGTTTGAACTGCTGACCTTGTGGATAGCAGCCCAATGCATTAACCACACACAGAGGAAGGACACATCTAGTCTCAGGTAGCAGATATAGGCTTAGTGTGGAAAAGAAGAATCCGTGTACTTCATTTCAACCAAAGTAAACTTAAATTTGGGAAGCATGTGGAAAATACTGACTACTACTTAATTATTTTCTAACTCCTAGTGAGCTGATAGAAAAGAGTAGAACTGCCTCTGAGTTTCTAAGACTGTAAATCTTTACAAGAACAGAAAGCCTTATCTTTCTCCTAAGGAGCAGCCTGTGGACGCCAAATGCTGACCTTCTGGTGAACAGCCCACTGCGTAGCCACCAGGGGTCCTTGCCTGGAAAATAGATGGTAGGGAAAAATGTGTGAATGGCAGGCACACTAGGGTATGTCAAAAAGTATGATGACTAGGATTCCAGTTCGGGTTTATTTCAGACAAAATGTGTTTAAACATGCTTCTGTGATTGGCGGGAGGCTGCAGACAAGTTCTCTCAGTGATACACTTACCTTAGTCTTATTAAGGTGCCTTCCAAATAGAGGTCCAATCTAAACAGTGCCTTCCAGAAAGATGTGCTGGGCCAATATAAGGCAGAAATGGCCATGTTTCTTTGGCTGCTAAGGGAACCATCTTGATATATTTTCTCAGGGGACACAGGTTGACCATGGAGCTTATTAGGAATAAATGTTCAGGAAATTGAAAACTGTGTGGGTGAGAAAAGGCCAGGAAACCTAAGCTGACAATTTTCCCCTGTCACTTTGGTGCGCCTGCTCATTCTTCAGAAGCTCTTGTGAAAATTTCATAAGGAAACCGCACCCCATCTACCCTACAGCCTTTATCTCTCCCCTTCAGCCTTTTTTGTTTGTTTCCCTAATTCAAATGACAATGTGAGTCCCCGAGAATGCCAGAACTGTTTTTTTAGATGTGGTGCAAATTCAAAAGCATAGGAGGTTTGTGGGGGGACAGGAAAGAGATGAAAACACTGCCTTTAGAGGTGCATGGACCCAGATGGAGGATGTGCTGAGAAACAGCAGCTTTATATTTTAATCATTTTGTTGACTAAAGTAAAGTTTGCTGCATGTTGTGGCAGTTTCAGTTCAAGGTTTGAGGACTGACTCAGAGTGGTAGTCTCAGGGAGACCTGGTCCAGTAGCCTAGACTTTTTCAACATTTGGGTTCTGTGTTTTTCTCCCATTGTGTCAGGGTCTCTTAAGGCTCTGATCAAAATATTCCAGAGTGGTAGCCGGGCACCATCTAGTTCTTCTGGTCTCATGGTAGATGAGGCCATGGCTTTGGTAGGTTAGTGGCCTTATGGATTAGTTTCTTTTCTGAGCCTTTGATTTCCTTCTGAGAGCTTAGAATTTGAAATGTCCTGCTACATTATTGTTTTGAAAAGAAAGTTCAGATCGTCATTCAACCAACATAGTTGATCACTAAACTTCCAGACACTGGACTAGCCATTAGTGACGCGCAGATGAAGAAGACACTGACCTCAACGACAGTACAGTGTTTGCTCAGTGGACACAACAGACTCATGAACACACAATCCCAGTGTTACGTGGTTAGGTCAGGGATGGAGAAATATGTAGACCGGCATGGTTGAAATGACAAAGGAATCTTAACCCACCTCAAAAGTTGACAGCTGGGCACAAAGAGGAAGGTGAGGAAGAATGTCTTAGGAGAGACTAGAAGAAGAGAATGGGACATGGGCATAAGCAGATGGTGAGAAGCTCCATGGGGTGTGGGTGGTAGGAACTACAGAAGGAGAGGAGAGAGAGAGAAGCTGGAGAGCCGGGCGGGTCAGCACATGGGTGGTCTGATATACCACGCTACAGAAATTAGCCTTTAATAATGGTAATAATAACAGCTACCGTGAGGTCAGTCCTGACTCCCGTGAGCCCTTATGTGTCAGAGTAGACCTGTGCTCCACAGCGTTTTCAAAGGTTGATTTGTCAATAGATCTTAAAGCTTTCTTCCCAGACACCT